TGTGGTTACCTACGAATAACGGCAGAGCGAGCGTTCAGGAAATGTAATCCTTGGCTTATACGGATCGCGTAATACAAGGGCGGTTACCCTCATGGCAAAAAATTGACAAACATTATAAGCGTTTTTGTTAGGAAATCATACTCAATTTATGACTCTGCGTTTAAATTTTTATTTTAGCATATAACGATAATCTGTGGAAATAAAATTTATAGTAGTAATATGAATATTAATTTATTTTCAAATATTAATATTCTCTTAAATATTAATTTTTTTCTAAAAATTTTAGCACTTTTTAAAAAAATTTAAATGAATAAGAATATATTCTTATGAGGTAACAAGCTCGTCAGGAGGAGAACTATATTGAGTATAAGCGCTGTTCGATGTTTCTGCGAAATGTCACGCTGCTCCAAAATATCCGCCATTGCCTGCTCAAAGCTGCCGCAAAATTACGATCGCGATCGAATGACATTTCGTGCACGCTAGAAAAATGTCACGGGGCCATAAACGGGTTTGTAGTAATTGCCAAGGTCGTCGATTGATCAGCAAGTCTGGCGGCATCCGGTCCTTCGACGTGATTACAAACGTACGATCATTAGTAACACGGACTCATTACGCTTACGAGCGGCAGATGATCGTCATTGCTCTCTTCTTGATGAAAAACGCATAATTGCCCGCCGGCCGCGTGTTGTAAAAATACTACATCATATCCGCCATAGAGCTTCGAGATGGTTATAGAGAGATGAAAAAGATTTGCGCAAACCGTTACAAAAACGGAAACAGTTAGATGAATTATTATTACAACGAGAATTATTACAATGTAATAAATATGAAAGTCTTATATTTATTAAAATATAAATACAAATTATTCAAATAATTATTCAAATAATTACATTTTTGTCGTTAATTACATGACATTTCCAGACTTATATATTAATATTATATTATATTATAATATTATATTATATTATATTATATTATAATATTATATTAATATTTAATTTCAATAACTAATTAATACAATTTTACAACAACAAAATATGACATAATATGATAGTATTAATGACATTTCTTCTACATCATTATTGCAAAGCGTGCACACTCGTTAAAAGCACGAGAGCTCCACGAGGCTTATAGACGTTGATAGACGTGTGGTTTTTTATCGGTACACACAATGTCTTAAGTTCAAGGTGACGCGATGCGGATACTTTGCGCGTCTGAGAATCTCAAAGACGCGTGTGGCGAATTACATCATAACGCGGAGGAGGAGAAGACGTCGATGAAAGTGATAATACCGCGAAGAGACGAGCCGCAGCTCTGTCGCTGGGCCAATCTAACTCCTGGAAGGAACCGGAACCTGCTTCGAATTTCAAAACGCACGACGCAAACGTGACGCACGTGGAATTCCGGCGCGACGGTTTTTATCTTCTCCGACGAGGGTGCAATAGCGATACAGAAGTTAAAAGTAACGAGCACGTATTATCGGACGCGATCGTCCTATTTGAGAAAACTCTTATTTCATGAGGAACTGGTGTTTATATTTCAACGCAGTTTGAAATTGCTGTTTAAGGCAACTTATTCGATTTTCTCCTCTATCGCGGATAAGCGCGCCTAATCGGCGCGGATTATGGTAGCTGGGTAAATAACGATCGCGTGTTGAGCATATTCAGCATATTGCTCGACCATGACGAGGTGCTCTTCACACTTCAGCACTTCAGTTACAAGAACAAGAAACGTAATGGCCGGAAAATATCAATGTACTCAAATGAAATTCACGTTGGCGTGCAATGCTTGACTGGTGGATAAATACAAAACGATAATTTAGTATTTTACCAAGATGTTCATCGAGCTTGAATTCCGAAACAAGCATTTCGATTAATTTAACGTTTATCTTTGTGCTTGGATAATCAGAGAATAAATAATGATTTTCTCAAATGATTTCATGGAACTTTTAGCAGACAGTGTACCCGTAGAGCAGACGCTAGTGCACCACAATGGTATCGCGAGAGATATGGCGCGTTCCTCCCTCGCGGGTGTATCTCTTGTGCGAGTATTGATATCATCGTAACTCGGCCGCTCCTCCTGGAATTCCAGATAGAGCGAGTTGAGAGCCGCTGACCAATAGAACGAGCTAACGAACGACATCATTCGTCGGATATGGAGAACCGGAGGTTTCCTTCGAGATCGAAGGTCACACAATTCTCGCCGCGTCCCTATGCGAACCACCTTTTTCTCCACCCGCCCGCTACTTCCCCTTTTTTATCGGCTCCGAAATCTCCGCACACCTCCAGGCTACTTCGCTCGCATACGAAGTCATCCTTGATGATCGCCATCCCGTACATTTTTCCGAAATATCTCAAACTCGAGAGCTATCTCCAGCTCGCTCATTACAAATGGAAGCTTTCATCCATAATCGATTGAAAATTGATCACTTTTATCCCATTTTAGAACATATGAACTGCAACATTCAAAGACTTTAAGTTCTTAAAAAGGAAATGAAAATTTGCACATATTAAAAACTTATATTCAAAAGATTATTAAATTGCACATATTAGAATATCAAGAAATCTCTACAATTGTAAAACATATAAAATACTTTCTTAACAATAGCAGATAATTATACTAATAATAAAATATATGTTTAACAATCTATTTATTAAGGAATATAATGTCATAATTTTCTCGGGAGAGAATTCTTGGTAAATTATATTGATATCGGAAGCTCATAGGAATAATCGTGGCTCGTAGGAATAATCATCGCCCATAACCTTAACCTCGCAGTACGTCCTTGTTCTTCTCTCCACTTCGCCTTGGTGAGATGGTAGCCAGCCGATACTCTGCGTAGGGAAGCCTTTTAACGTTCTGAACCTTGCCGAGACTTTTCTCCAGCACGGTCGCATCGTCCAGCCCGGTACTGTAAAGCGCGTCAAGTACCAAACCAACGACGACTACCATACCTGGCGGTACCAACGGTGTGTACAGGCTTGGTCTTCCAGGATTGTAAACAGGCGGCAAGAACCAGACGGTAGGCGATGTCGTAGACCCCTCCTCCACGACATCTTGGCATCTCCCCTCCTGCATGCTGACCCCCTAGGCCTGTATCTTGGCGCGCACGGTAGTGCGGCGATGCATCTGCAGCTGCACTGATATTAACCCGAGCGCCGAGGTTCTCCTATGCGATGAGTGTGAGACTCCAGGTATAACGTAATGGCGGTTGGTCGTACTCAATCGGGAGAAGCTTGACGGCTGCGGGTGAGGCGGAGGGCTGATTCGCATAAACGCGAGGTCACGGGAGATATCCGCAGGGTAGGAACACACGAGGGGGGGAATACATGAGGAGAAGAAGGGTCTGATCGTGGTTGGTAAGGCGCCTGTGTGTGATGTTCGTTTACTTTGACAGGGTAGGATGCCGGATTATCGGCTTTGCGGCAAGATCGATTTGCCCTTTGAGGCTGAACCCTTCCGCGTTGAGGAGCAGCTATGACTCCGCTAGGCGCTTTGAGATGTTATTGGTTAAGTGAATTCAGGAAATTACGGATAATCATCTGCTACAGTATATAATGAAGCTGGAACGTATAGAAGATAGTACACAAAATCCTTTTAATTAATTTTTGATAATTTTTGATAATTTTATTTTTAAATAATCAATTAAAAATTATTTGAAAATTGTTTTATTTATTGCATGTTTTCTCCGTCATATTTTGTTACAAAAAAATTAGATATCCTTTACTGCAAGCCGATCTGAGTTAATCATCTTGCCTCACATAAACTTTAACCGCTTGCATGCTTCGTCTCCGTCATCCACTTATACAATCACCGCGATGGCGTATAATTAGCGTAATCGCGCATTCGACGAAAGAGCAATTATTATGATTCAGCACAAGCGACGAATTATATACGCAGACGCGTTAAGCGATCATGACATCTTGTCCTCGGTGTCGAACGTGAATTACTTGAGCTGAGTCTTAGTGCCGATGCACGCACATGCAGTATCCATGCATCGATCGTTTTCGGATCATGGAAAGGAAATACGATGTGATCGCGTGCAAGGATTGTAACGGGATTCCGCCGAGTCTATGGCAGTTGGATCGTTTGATTAAGAATCGAGCAGCGATTGACAACGAACAAAACTCGCAAAAATGTCACAACATCTCTCGTCGTGACACTCGCTACACCGTGTCATGTGTTGTACGAACAGATTAATGCATAATTGAAAGAAAAGATAATTGATTGAACTGTTATGATGAACACTCAAAATCATGGATCAACCTGAAACAAACTGCATCCATTGAAATAATCTAATTTGGAGGAAGCAATTTTTTTCTGGTTTACTTTCGGAGCCTAATAATTTTTGACTTTGATCTGCTTATTAATAAAATATAACATTCTAAATCTATATAAAAAAATATTTAGAAAAGGCATTAAGGAAAGTACATTTCAATTTTTTTATTTACGGTAAACTTGCAATAAGAATATTTTTATAATAAAAATTATTATATTTTAGATAAAGGTTATTGATTGCAGAATACTTTTATATTCATACATAGAATAATTTTAGTTTTAAAAATAACATTCTTCAGTTTATGATAAAATATTAAAAATTCTTTTTGTTTCTGTTTTTTCTCAAAAAATATGCATATAGATTTTCTATTCAAATTTTTCTATTCGTTTGATAAAAACATTTCATCATGTATCTAATTCATATATAAAAAAACTAAATCCATCAAGCAATGTGCAAAGTCTCATGTTCAGCATCTTTGGAAAGTTCATCACCGATAACGATCGCCGGTGTCGGACGTTTAGAAATCCTTTTCTTCGGCACGTTTTATGAGATCGGCATGCTAACACGGGGTCGTCCGCGCACGCCGCGACGTCGTGTCGTGTATACGAGAGAAACGGGTTATTAACTCGCGGCCACGAATTTTCAAGCGGCGTATTTGGTGGGGTGTCTACCTGCGGCGATAGCGATGGGCTCCGTGCACGCGCGCCGCGGCGCTCTCCAGTCCGCGAAGAGCGCTCCGACGCGGAGGACGTGGGAAAGATCGATTCGCCGTCGCAGAGCGGTTCTCACTCCGTTTCGGTTCTGCGACAAGACCGGCACACGACCGGTGAGAAACCGGCTCCGAAAGATCGCCGCAGATGCGGACACGCCGAAACTCGTCCTTGGAAAGATCTCACGCGGACCGTCCGATTGATGAGACACTGACGATGAGAGGTCGGTTTGGCGCGTTTCTCCGATTTTTCCGAATAGTCGGAGCGATGTGAAACATGTCACAAATTAGTGGTGATTCGAAGGATTAAAGATCACGATTTACCGAATATAAACTGTAAAACTCTAACCGTGCGTCTGATATTTAAATGTACTTTTTAACGAGAAGTTTGAGTGGTCCGTGTCGATCGATCGTTATATCGAACGGTACGGAGATTCGCGGTGAACGCTGTTGAGAAAGATCGCACGGACAACGGTTCCTCGGCCACTCCGCATTCTTCTGCTCGTAAAGGAGACAAGTCGCCTGCGCCGGGTAACCGGTCGTCGTCGCGATCGATCTCTCGTCACCCCTCGGATCGATGCAAATCTTTGCCGGAGGTCGTCGAACTCGGTGTTAACGGCGACCTTGGGGTACGCCCAAAAATTGAGAGTCCTCGCGGAAGCGCGGGCGCGTGCGAAGGACGAGATGCGCCATTTTCGAGAACCGATGCAGGGAGGTGAACGATCCTCGGAGCGTTTTGCCGCAGACCGGTAATGGGATACCAGAGGTGACGGCAAGATGAACGGTCACGGATCCACCAATGAGGTACTTGTATTGCGTATGATTTCTATCTCTCTTTCCTCTCTCGTTGTATGTTTTGTCGCTTCATTTTTCCGTCCCCTCTTCCACATCGTGTGTCTTCTCTCGCCGCGATATATGCGCTTTAGATATTTAAATCACGGTGTCCGTTCCATTCTTGACTGACGATCTCGAATCGCGGATTAATCCCGTCCCGTTCAAGGTAATCCTCGGGGTTCTTAACAGGCTCCAAAGAGAGAACACATCCGTCGTAGATCCTCTCGTAGATCCTCTTTGAGAATTGTTCAAAATCTCGGCGCGTCAGTGTCTTGATGTTGATCCTTGTACCGACGTGTGATTACAATTGATAAGGATAGTGATAATTGCGGTATGCTGTTATGAAAGAATTCTAGCGATGTAAACACATATCTCAAGATTATTCTTAAATAAAATACCTCTTGTTGAGCGATACATGAAAGAATTATAAATTACATTTATTGTATATAAAAGAATATGCTTCTTAGAATTGATTTTACTTCATTAAATTGTATTTATATTAACTATTACGTATATATATATATACGTGTAGTTTTCGGGACGTACTTTAAATTATCGAATGCTAAATTATCGAAGACTAATTATGTAGTAAATAAATTTATCTTTATCATTGCAGGCACAAGCGTATCAGAGAAACATTATACTAGGACCTCTAAGCAATATTTTACTATGATAAAATCTACAAAAAACGAGATATCTCGAATAAATGGCAAATTTGCATTTACATCGGAATAAGCGAGGAAACGTTACATCATATCTTTTTCATATCTGTGACATGCAAATTCTCCCCAGCGTCGCCGTCGGACGTGCGAACGCTCTGGCGGGGCAAATGTCTGTTATATATCAAAATGGCGCTCCTTCTTCCCTCGATTTCTCTGTCTTCCGTCGACCGCTGCCGTCTTTCCCGCTGCATCTTCCTTTCCCGTGTCGCCCATCGCGATTTCTTCTTGTTGCGTTCTAAATTCGCCGCGCGGCGCGCGTATGTATATAGCTCTAGCGAGGAAGAGAAATTCCTGACGTCTCTTCACGACGGTGGCTGGGATGCACTCGCGACGTTTACGCGGGATGCAAGGCCCGGTTTCTGCCACCACGATTGTTGCTCAACGCAACGGTTGAGGAGCCACATGCAGCGGAACGATCTAGGCTTAAAGTGCTCCGAGAGCTGTCGTGTATTGCGCGATCTCATTTGGCGAAATAATGCCGTGAATTCCCGGCGTCAATAGTGTTTGAAATTGCAATGGAACTATTTAGATCAATTCGAGTAAATGGAATTACTCGGATTTATCAGGTGATAAAGTTGCAAAATTGCAAAGCAACGTTGAAAGAGACTCCGAGAAACAGGTTCTTTGTTTAAAGTTTTGTTGTTTTAAGCTTGAACATAATACTGTTTTAATTCGGTAACTTCTCTTTCCTTGAAGATTTGTAATTTCGTTACGAACAATGAAAAATACGTAGATATGTTTAATTTTTGTAGTGCAAGTTTTAACTATTCAACGATAACAGATAGATTTTGCAACATCTTCCTTTATAATGATTTTATTATTGCTTTATAATTATTTTATTTCTAATTTTTTTCATTGTTCACTCATCACTGATATGAATGTTAAGCTCAATATTAAATGTATTCATTGTAATATATTTAACATAAAAATTACAATCTAGCCGATATATTATCGCTACGAGAGAAAAGCATTGATAATATGAAATCTCTCGAGTTGCCTGTTTATCTCTCAAATCCACAAAGACGATAAACGAAGATTGATATATCGCCATTGTCTTCATCCGTGTGTAGTCAGCGATCTTGATATTTCCGGAATAATCTCGGAACAAAGTTTACATCGAATGAGAATCTCGTGCGTGACTATTATCGCATATATCACGAACATTCATTTTGCATTGTACGCCCTGCAAGACCACAAAACATAGTGTTGCAAGACTGAGCGTAATTTTGACATGGCGACTTGCGATTCTAGGGAGGTCATGTTTGAATAAGAGACGGCAGAGGGGGAGGAGCGATAAGGCCCATGCTCGATTAGATAACGGCCCGTGACAGGTACGGCACTGTTTGCACGTCGAAGAGAGCCGCTTTTGCATGCGACAAGCGGCGCTGGATTTTCCTTCGACTCAACTACGACGTTATATTCTTCGATTTTAGTCTTGCTTGAAAAATTAAAAATTGAAACGAATGCACGAATTGGATGCGATGGGCCTGTCCTGGCTCTCTTTGAGTATTGAATTCGGACAATTTTCATTTATTGAATTACGCATTGTGCGCGAGCCAGATTAAATTTCGATAAAGTGTCTCTGGCCATGTGCCAGCTATGAAAAGAAAAAAGGGAATGAACTCTTTTCTCATATGCGCATCCAAATGGCAAAGTGGCAAAATTGAAAAATGGCATTAATTATCATACATATCTTTGCTTTACAAAATAAATCGATAGCTTTTGTTACTGACCGAATGTCTCATGAATCTTATCTTCTTAGAACGAAGAAGAGTATGTTTGACCATTGTGTAAAATGTATTGATTCTTGATAGTTTACTTTACGTCATGTATCTAAGTGCTTCGCCAAATATTGAAGTTCATTTTTATTATACTTTACTTGAAATAAAGGTTGAACTCACACATTTAATGAAATTAAATAGAAAACTAAATCTTGAAAGAATTGAAGAACATTAATTTTTTGCATTTTACGTAACTCTTTTAAAGTTTTAAAAGCTCTTTTAAAGTAGCACAAAGATATTGAGAGCCTCTGTACGAAAATAATATTGAGTCTTTCTTATTTCTAAATGGCAATTTGTTTCAATAAGTATGAGTGTCACCCGGCCTTGGACTGTCTAATACGAAGATGCGTGTGAACACACAATGAAGAGTGACATAGATCCTTGAAGTCACACTTAATTATTGCACAAAATACAGAATTGTTACGCTAAATTAACATGGATAAAGTTTAAAGTGAGAAAATTAGGAATGCGAGGTAACTTTAGTTAAAGTAACAAGAAATTTAAAGAGAAAAAAAACCAAATAGAATTCATACAATATTTAATCTTTAATAATAAGGATGAAAAAGAGAATAAGATTTTTCTAATATTTAATTAAATGTTGCATCTGCAGGTACAATCATAGTGTTAGTAGTTAAAATAAATTTCTATAGTTGTTTAAGGGGAGGGAAATTTCTATTCTCGGAGAGAAAACAGAAAAAAGATATAATTTTTCAAAAACTTCTTATTTTGTTGAATAAATTGTATACAAGTCGTTGAAGGGTCTTATGAAAGCGACAATAATTTTTTATCGGTGATACTCGACGAATAGATGAGACGGAAAAGGGTGTGCCTCGACGAGGATTATAGTGACAGGAATATCCACTGTGTCATAAATCCTCCGGTAATTGTGGCCAATTAATTGGCATGCAAATGAGGTGAAGCGCAAATCACCGGGATGGAGGCGGATCCATTCATCTGAAGGCGATCTGAAAGCGTCCTCCTTCATTCAGACTTTTCACTCTTTGTTCCTGCGTGATCGTCTACTCAATTGACTACAGTAGTTGCAGTTACGCAGATTCTTTTCTTTTTTTTCTTGAAAAAAAGATTGAAAAATGCGCGACGTCGCGACTTGCCAAGGCCGACTCCCAAAATTCACAAACATGCCGAAACAGTCTTTCCAAGAATCTTGTCGTACAAACACGCATTTTGAATAATTACATGTATCATGAATCAAATGTTTATAACAGTATACGAACGATATAGGACTGTTATGATATCTTCTAATAAGACTAATTACAAGCTGCGATAAATAAAAAAAAAAAGTCCTTAGAGTTGGAGCTATATTTTTAAGTTTACTTACTTTTTTCTACTTTACTAACTGTTTTTCTAAATGTTCTATTTTTATATATTTTTGCAATTTTAAATTATTTTATCTAAATATTTATGATAGATTTTATTAAATTATATGAATAATCATAAGGCAGATTAATGAAAGTAATTGCTTTATAATTAGTAAGCATAACATTAACCTTTCCCAAACTCAATTAAAATATATTCATGTTTCATTAATACACGCCGCAATTAATTATGATGCTGCTGTGTATTGCGAAATTAATGGTAACAGTGTGGTTTACAGGGGAATAAAGAGCTGTAATTGTTACCCACATAACATATGTATGTATCGCATTCGCGTCGTTGCGACGCCAGTGTTATTTACACCAACGAAGAAATGGAATATTGAATGAAACCAAGCGTGTCTGACAGATTACGGCACGGCACAATGTCGTGAATTAAATACGCGAATACAAGCGATCCACCGTCGGGCGCCAGGGCGATTTCGAAAAACCAGTTTTACGACCTCTAATAATCGTTTCCTTGCCGAGAAGACCCTCGCCGAATTTAGTGTCCACGTCATCGTGATCTTTCCGCTGACCGCGTGACGTAAGTCCTCGTCCCAAATTCCTGGGCATTTGCTGCCGCAGAATTTTGCGGCTGTTGCGGAAAGGACGGAGTTTCGCGAACAGACGGACTTTCCCGGGTTATACTCTGTAATACGCGAAAGTCGGATGCCTCGAGCAAGGAAATGGGAAACGTCGGGAAAGTCAAGCGCACCGGTCGGCCAGCCACAAAAAGCATGCGCAAGGAAAGTGAAAAAGCAGAAAAGAGTTGTCGCTTAACTCGGCTACATCCATCATTGGTTTTCAATTACGAAAAAACACCTTTTTTCCCGGTTTTTCTTGTTTATGGAATAAATATCTAATGGACATTTATATCTTAAGATTCTTTTTAAATTTTTGAATGTTGGAGATAATTATATTCATATGTAAATAAAAAATATGTACATATACATACTCACGTAGAAAATACAAAAGCAAATATAATGATTATTCGCAGATAAGGAATACATTTGCGCTCCTCGACTCAAGGTAATTCGAAAATTACATATTTAAGGGCTGCGAATGCCCTGGAGCACGATATATGTGGTCGG